TAGATGCATCACTGAAATAGAATTTTCAGATGAAACCTTAGGTTAAGTTAGGGTCCGGTTAAAAGGACGATCCAAAAAAAACGAATCCCTTTGGACAGCTGAGAATGTCGGATCAATGCGATACCTAAATGCTCCTAAGTATTGAGCGAAAAGACTCAAAAATCGGCAAAGCCACACATTTGTAAAGACAGTTGATATCTATTCCGCCTATTACGCCAGGTTGATAGAAAGTAGGACGTCGAGATATTTAATCTAAGTGATGAGAGAGCTGGAAAATGGAGAAAAAAGTTCCTAGATTTCGTCACTCTAACTTCCACCACACAACTTTGATGGTTTCGACCCATCAGTGATAAAGCTCACTGTAGCTCTTCACCAGCGGCTTCGCCTATCTATAAGCTCCTCGTCGGTATTTGAGCACAGTAAAGACTGTCGGCAGTGATCAACAAGGGTAGAATTCCAGGATGTCCTTCTACGGACTTCTTCATGTACCCAGCATGAATCAAAGTTACCAGACAAATTGTTTACGTTTAAAACAAACATTTACCAAACAACTGTGAAGATCTCACGATAATAGAAGCGGTTATACCAATTTAGGAAAAAATATTGTTTCATTGTTTGCGTGCGCAGTTTAAATGGATTAGTGCTAGTTAGATTTCAGATTGAATGTTGAAAATTTCTTTAAGGACATGACACACCCTATAGAAAGAAACACCCTTCAAGGTTATAATGACAGTTCACTCCAGCAGAATGCGAGTATATAGTATTTATTGTATATATTTTTTCTTTACATTTACTCATAACCGAAATGCATTACTACATTACAAACAAAACTGTATGTACTCAAATGGTTATTATTTTAAAATTAATTCTCTCTTTCTTCTCATTTCAGGTGAGTTCAAATGCCAACAACCTAAGCAACTAGCGCATAGAAGATGTGAATGTACTCAGTAATTAGTGCCTTAGTGAACACAGTGCCCGGTTGGGTAATTCGTAGAAATTCTGAGTGTTAAGCAATTTATTATTTCTTTTCTTTGTTACGCACGATGTCATAAGGCACGTTTCGATACCATATGACTAATTGGCAAAATGCAACATTGTATGCAATATGGATACCATAATCGTACATATTCATATACTCTTGTAGGCAAAAAATCGGAAGGTATCAGTGAAAATAATTTTGAAAGATCATTTGAGCCTAGGAAAAGTGAAAGCACGATTGGTTCCAAATTTTTTTTTTCGAAAAACAGCGTCTCACTGACATCTGTGAAACAATGTTTTCCGACTACCAGGTCATGAAACGTTATATTACTGGCAATAAGTTTGGATCTATGTTTACGATTCGGAAGCAGGCGATCAATCGGCCGAATATCGTGGCATAGGGGAGCCGAAGATGAAAAACCACGTCAAAGCAGGTTCGAAACCAAGATTAAACTGTCAACAACAAATGTTATTTGAGTGTTATGCAGTATTTGTGAGTATTAATTCTTCGTGATTTTTGTGTGTGACTTTTGGCTATTCAATAAACTCAAACGAACGCTCCGGGGAAACTGTTTTACGTCAGTTGAAGACATTAAACGTGAATCGCGACGCACACTGCAGGCTATTCTGGAAAGTGTCTTTAACAAATGTTTCGAGGACTGGAAAAAAAAAGTTGTCATAAGTGCATTGTGGCCAATGGGGTTTACTTTGAAGGAAACGAGATAGTAGATTTTGAGGAATAAATGAAATTTTGTAAAATTATGGAAAAAATTTAAGTAGTAAAATTGATTTTTTACGTAAACCGAATGTTGAAAATTTGCTTAAAAATATTTGAACTTCATTTTCCATAAACTCTGTGGTTTATAGCTATCTTCTCTAGTTCAAGCACCGAGAATCATCTAGAACACCCAACAAAGTTATGCTTCTGTCCCAAAGAAGCAATTGCTGTGTCTTTTTGTTTTTATTGATTTACTTTTGTCATAGCATTCTAATGACAAACCGTCTTTTTTATTTTTATTGTTTTACAAGTTTTTTTCAATTGTAATTATAATTGCTAGAAAAAGGGGGTTTGAAATTCCCACCACGTAGTCGCCATAATGTGGCATGTAGCACTCACGTACATATGTACTATAGGTGTACATATTTGCATATGTCAGGCTTATGGTTGGCTGGTGTAGGGTTATTGCCGTAAACTTACAACTTCATGTGCGAGGTTTAACGTACTTTACGCTCCAACGCATGGGACAACGCAGCGCTCTGTTGGGTGATACCACCGTAGACACACACATATGTATGTATGTACTAGTCATATAAACTGCTTTATGCTTGTTCTTACTTGAGGCTAGCCATTCAGACTATTAAATTTTTCGTATAGATTTACAGTAGTGAGCACAAAAAATGCATTACTCATTATTAAAGGGTTTAAATATATGTAAGTCGAAAGTCCTATAACAAAATTGTAGACCAAGTCAAAAAATTAATTACAGCATTATTACGTTGATAACTTCTTTGAGTAATCTTTCGTAGTACCTCTGATAACACTGACATATGGTACGTCTTCAAACTGGTTCATTTATTTTTTGTTATGATTTAATTTATAAATTTTGTTCGATAATCGATCGGTGTTTCATGATTGGGTACTGATATATGTATTTACAGCTTGTTATCGGTATGCTTAAAATACCTTATCGACTTTTATAGGAGTTTTTCAGTATTCTACGTTTAGTTTCTATCAATATTTTCCGCTTGCTTATGATTTATCAGTGTTTATACTATCGCAAATTATATTATCGATAAGTTATCGGTATTTTTATGTTATATTGCCGATATTTTATCGTTATTTATAATTATCGACAACTCAAAAAATTGCTTATTGATAATCGATATTACATATGGATTAATTTAAAATTCGATGTTTGTTTTGGTTTAGTCTTTTGGTTCATTTATTATAATTTTATTAACGCAGTTTTATATATACTGGTGCATTTATTATTACTTTATTAACGCACTTTTATATACTATATCGACATCTCAAAATTTAATATCGATAATTGAAGAATAGGTATATCGATATCTCTACAACTCCAGGTTTGATAATACTTTTGCAGCCTTTATTGATTATTTTACTTGGAACGGAAATAATACTACTGTAAAAGCATCTTTTTACCTTCAAAATATAGTTTTTCTCATTTTTAGTATTTTTAGTATTTATTCTTAGCTTTTCTTATCGAAAAGTTTTTACGTATATGTAGTTTGTCTTAATTTTATTTAAATGTCTAAATATATTGACATATGACGTTATTATCTATATTTTCAAGTAATTTATCGATATAAAATATAAACCTTTTATCGATATACATACATACTATATGCTACATATATATAGATTTGAAGGCATTATTATTATACGCTAAACCAATTATTTGTATTTCGCCCGCAATGTCGCTAGTTTTAGAATCGATTTTTTAATTATCGATATCGATAACAACCTTTTTTGTATCGATATCGGCTTTTTTAATGTAGATATTTTATCGAAAATTTTCTTTGATTTATTTATTATTTTTTTTTGACGTATTATCGATATTTGTGGATTATTCATATGTATATTTGTTGTTTGAAACCGAGTTTTGCGCCAATTTGATAAGGCCCAAAAACATTTTTATGCTCAGCACGAGCTTTAAATATTGTCTGTTTGTTCTTTACACCCCAGCGGTTTGAAGTCACAAGCTGTTAATTCGTTTTCGCCCGAAAACGCCTCTATTCTTCCTGCCTCTACCATTGTGAGTATAATAAAATTTTAATTGCTGGACAAAAGAAAAAAACGGCGGCATCTTAAAACCAATTCTTTAGCTGGCTTATTAATTCTTTTCTTCTTCGTCTTCTGTGAAGGGAAAATTGGTTTACGCATATTTTTGTTATTTCAATTTCATTTTGAAATTTGTGAATGCAGCAACAAAGTCTTTCGGCTGCATACATACTCACTCACATGCATTTTTCAACACAACCTTTTCAAATGGCTTTCGTGCTTGGCTGAGCGTCTTAACTTGCCGGCTATTAACAAGTGATTCACCTACACGCAACTCTTCCGGCTCAGTGCTCCCACTCCACCATTGCGTGCTTTGTTCTGTTCCGTTTACGTGCGTGCGTGTTTATGTATGTGTACTTAGCTATTTGCTTGCAAAATTCGCTATTTTTTATGACAACAAAAAAAAAAAAAATTAATCACTCGCGAATTTTACAGCAATAATGAAGACACACATACATGCACCGATTTGACCGGCAGTGCTTTGCCCTTTGATCCGATCCGTTGCTTGCTGTACACCTACATTCGCACACCAATTGCAAGACTCTACCGTAATCTTTGCTTTTTATGTTAAAAATTTCAGCGCCGTTATGTCTCGCATGAGTTATATTCTTTCTATTTTTAATTATTCGCAAAGTTTTCCAATTTGTTTTTCCTGATTTTCGAATATTTTTCCCTCTTTTGACAAATAAGCAAGTGTCCAAACGTGTCGCCTTTTGCTAAAAACCGCCCACAGTGGCCATTTAAAAAATGGCGTAATATTCTGTGTGACAAATGAATCTGAAATAGTTTTATTTGGTGGAAAGGGTTCGCTATCCTATGTTCTAACAACCACAAATTTGAAATATGCTAGTAAAGTTACCGGAAAGACTGTAAAACACGCAGGTTCCAGTATCATGGTACGTTGTTGGGTCAATTCACCGTATAAAGACCGTCATGAATGCAACAGTATACGCCAAAATAATCAAGGAAGTAATGCTGTCGTACGCAATGACAAAGAGAATAGGCCCTGAATTAAACCCCATCGAAAATTTTTGAGCTCATGTTAAAAAAAGGGTATACGAGATCAAATTGACTAACAATAATGATCTTTGGAACACATTGCAACAGGTCTGAACACTCCAACTCCGCTTTAGGTCAGGATGACCAGTGCTAATATTTTGGCAGATAATTTCTTTAGATTTTTGGAAAAATATGAATTTTTCGTACTAAAGAACGCTCGGAAGCACATTTATTTCTAAATAAGTATAGTTTACTCTCTTATTTTATTACTTGACTAAACAACTAAAAGGAAATTTTAAACGTTTCGCAGTGTTCATTTGCAGCTCAGCTACGAAAAAATGGCGCCATTAATGAGTCCACACTTCATTGGGTGTTGTATTTTGTTTGATTTCAGCAAGCAGTTTCCCTTCGCTCGTTTGCAACTCTGCGATAAACGAACGCTGTTGCGCGCTCATCATCTCTTGCAGCCATTTTTGATCAGCTGTCAGCTCTTGCAGCAGCTCCGTGCTCTGTACTGCAATGTTATCCTCAATAAATGTTCTCAGTTTACTCGACACAATGTCATTTTGCTTGCCCAGCGCAGTTTCTAGCTTTTCAAAATCTTCAACCAAGGCATTATAATCTTCGAGTAGTTGGCTGGAACTAAAGCACGCTCATTAGATGTGAAAATTTTGTTTGTTTTATCTATTTTAAGAATTTTGATCTTCTTTGACTGCATACCTGTTTATGACATCTGTGAGCGTTGCTTTAGCATCGCTGACTTCTTTCTCCAAGCTTTGCAGTGTTGACTCGCTGCCAAGAACTAGTGTGAAGGCCTGTGGCATTGGATTGAAAATGATTACATGAAAATACATATATATTTTTAGGAACGGTAATTTGTTTCTACTTGCATTGTCGTCATCAGCCGCTCTGTTTCCTCCATATACACAGCACATTATTAAGATTTGTAACAGTAGGCAGAATGTTGAGCTTTTAGACATAGTAATATGGCACGCGCTGTAGTCAAGTAAATTCTATTTTCGAAAAAATAACACAAAATCATATATATTTATCGTCATTTTATAAAAAGCTTTCTTAAATTATCTCCAATTTTTCGGAGAAAATCTTGAGTTAGTTCTTACATCATGCATGCCACGCCCTATGGCACAAATTTAGGCATATTCGAAACTTTTAACTAGTGTCGTTTTATAGACCTGAATACATCACATTCCATACATCTAGCGAAAAAACCACGAGCCTGCCTATACCATTTATTGATTTTTGGGATGGGATCTTTGTCCAAGTAGTTGAAACTTAGGGCTTTGAGCCTGCTTGCAGCCCCAGGAACTGCCGGCTAGGCGTATCATGAGTGCCTTGTTGGCTCTGGACTGAGTTAATTCCACGCGCCTATTCTACCGTAAGTTTGAGTCTAATGTGAGACCTAGGAATTTGACCTCTTTAGACATGACCAACTCCCTGTCACCAAGTGTCAGAAGAGATCTTCGCTTTGTTAAAGGGACAACGGTTGTTTTTGACGGGTTAATAATTAACCCTACCGTATTGCACCATCCCTTTGCTAGACTTAAGACCCTTTGAACTATGTTGCAGAGAGTGTTCCCAAATTTACCTCGTGTCATTATGACAATGTCATCAGCGTACCCCTGCACCGAATCCCATCTCAAAGATCTCATTTACTACTAGGCTGCATAGTAGAGGGGATAGAACTCCTCCCTGTGGGCAACCGCTAGTACCAAGACGAATCATACTCTCCGCCACAGTGGTTTCACCTATCCTAGTACGCAGCACAGCCTCAATTCATCTACTGGAGTCGCCACATTCCCTTCTGCCAGTGCCTTCATGACGCTTGCGTGGAACGAATTATCAAATGATTTCGATGGTTTGTATGAAATAAGTCAAATGTCCACTTCTATGTTATATATGAAAGTAGATTAGACCGTTCATTGATATAGGAACCGTCGTTTGTGTTAAAACAAAGATCACACCGCACAAAATATAACAAATTAGGGGGGTTAATGAACAAAGTTTCAAAATTTCTGAGTATCTTGAACTTTACTACAAAATTTCACAGATAACTGTCAACAATTTCGCTCTCGAATTGGCGCGCTTGGTTCTGTTTCTGCTGCTTTTGAACATAGTACTTAACATTTATTTTTCATTTCTCGGCGCTTTTTTATTCTTTTCACAAAACAAACACAAAATATAAATAAACTTTTAACGATTACCTTCAGAGCTTTTCTCTTAAAACGTATAGAGAGCATACCGTTACTTTTCGCAATGACTACAATATTAAAAGCAAACCGCACTCAGTGCTCTTACCAAGACAACTGTCTATGGAGTTCACAAAATTTTTCGAAAAAATTAAACAATTAATTTAAACGTAAACAAGATGGGGAGAGCGAGAGTGAGAGAGCAGGTAGTGGGGTTTCATGACACTGCTGGCGATTTGCCTCTCTATCTTTCGCCGGTGTATTACAAAGGTTATCACAAGTTGGTGAAATTCTATATACACCGTACAGTGAAACTGAAACTGGAAACCTTTTCGAAATATGGAAAAATATATTTCATGATATAGTCTTTAAAATGTCGCTGCTGATGTTTTATTTCTGCATTTAATGCGTTTAAAACTGTAACAATATTTTTGGTGCATTTTCTCGCTTACGAATTACACCCCTGCGTCTCTATCGTTCCAATGAAATATGGACTTCTAGTGCAGGATCGACATGCCGTATCGCCATATGCACATAAACCACGTCGTCCCAGTTATTCCAGATCACATTTCCAAGTTTTGTATGCAAGTTCCTAGAAATAAGGTAAATTCAAATGAAACCACCTGTATTCGTTAGCAAAATATCTACCAGCTACTCACCCACTACTACAAACATTTTGCTCTTTTGTCTCATTATACCACCAACCACTTTGCATTGTCTTCGCACACTCATTGCCGGCGTCAAATGTTTGAAAACGCCAATCTTTTGCGTTGACCAGGTCATCCCTAAGGTTTTCGATATCCAATGATACCAATCGATATTGTTCTGTTTCATTGGCAATCAAAAAGTTCGTATATATTCTATAAGGACTATCATTGGTTGCTGTACCCAATTGTATCCATAATAGGGAATTCGTACCGAGCAGCAGTTTATGTAATCGCTCAAGTCCAATAAAAAAACTACCAGTCAAATCACCGAAACCATTTTTGTACTCCTGCCAATTGCGGTTGAATGATAATTTGTCATTAATACGTCGCTGTATTAGCAGCCAAGTCTCGTCTCCGCTCGGGCCAGGTAAACAATAACCATACATATTGTTGAAATTATATTTCGTCATATTCAAGGCATAAATGCCGCCAGCTGTTGTTGCTTCCTCGGACTCCGCGGCTTGTTTCGACTTGATCGCTTCGTGGCAGCTGTTTGCGGTTTCAACACCAACTTTTGGCTGCGCATTCACTATGACCGGTTTGTCGTAAGTATTCGGCACATATGTCACATACGACGGCAATTTACCTTCCTCGGTATATATCTCAATTATATTTCTAATGTCTATCAATAATGCGATAGCTTCTGGCTTTAACTTGAGGACCTCTTCGGGTCTATTTTTTAGATTTGTCAATAAATTGAGTAGTGTTTTGTGCGTTTCCTTGTCGATCTGTTTTTTATTTTTATCGCTCTCCTGTGTGCGATGCTTTTGTTCATCGAGTTCACTTTGCATTTCCTGCAACAATTTGGTTTCGAACTTCTTCAGTTCTTTCTTATATGTCTTCATTTGCGTTTCGAACAGGTCCTGAATGATTTTTTTGTAATCACTTTGCTTTTGCACCAGCTCTTTGCTCTGTGCGTTGAGCTTCAACACGATGTATTTTTGAAGCTTTTGCAATATGTTGTCATTACTTTGCTTCTTTTGTGTGTTCTCCAGATTTTCCAAACGTTTCTGCAGGCTTGCGTAGTTCTTCCGCAGGTTGCTTAAACTAAAAATTATTGAGAAAGTGGTTTTAAAAATAGACGACATAGTTTTTTAGGAAGAAATTAAGAATTTTAAAATTATGAACTAAGTCTTGTATTTTTTGCTCATAGAAGACAAGTTGTAAGTTTTGAAAGACAATTCAGTTCATTTATATAATATTATTGTTTCTGTAAACGCTTGGTATTCACCTCTGCCGATGTTCGCTTAATTTTTCTCGCATAATTTTGGCCTCCATATGTAAGTTTGCCATGTTTGCCTCGCCGCCAAAAAGTAACGTGTATGCCTGGTGGATAAAAATTGTAAATATTTGCAACATTTAGACCATGTTTCATATATTACGTTGCTATTTTGCTCCACTGATATGGCAGCATGGCTCCAAACAAATATGAAAAACGCGAAATATACGCAACAAAAACGTATATGGGCCATAATAATAAGGAAATTGCTGTAGCAAACCGGTTAATGGTTTTTATTTTTCAAACTGTATTTCGCTCAATTTTTAAAAACCTCAACACTCCTACATTGGATGGCCTCAAAGACACCACCGAAAAATAATAAAAATATTTAAGTCTTTTTCAGAACGATTTGCTTCTTCTTTTCTTTATGACTTCTGCCGTAGAATTAGAACTTTATGCTCATACTTTAATTTTAAAATAATTTTTGATAGACATTTTCTCTCATTTGTATAAATCTATGTCTTCTACTTGAAAGAAAATCCACTGAAATAAATTATTGTGTTTTTTTATTACTTTCACAATTTCGAAAAAATAACAGCGCACTAATTTCGATTTCTAAACAGAACGCTTATCAATCTTCTGCTTTAACTCAAACTCATTGTTTTCGTCCGCACTTATCGCTTTCACTTTGGAAACTGTCTCACAATCTACAATAGCAAATATTTTTCCCGAGCTGAGATTTGACAGCGGTTTCCGGCCAATCGAAAGATTGCGAGAAGAACGGTTCGCGAGCGAACTTGAAAGCTGTAAAAGTGAAATACAGAATGCGAGATTAGTCGGCGTTCAGCTCTCTTATATTGCTCTTCTGCCCATAATCTTGGGTTGCTATCAGTTCTTAAACGTTTCCAGGAATTTGAAATTATCTTGTATTGCTATTTCGCAATCGTAAGTTTCATATTCAAAAGCTTGTCACAGCGTCTGAGAAGACTTTCCGTTTCTAATTTAATTTAATTTCAATCTACAATGGCGTTTTTGATAAGAAAAATTAATAATCGATTAATCTGTTGAACAAAATTGTCAGCATATACATAATATATCGGCTTATACTATAATAGTCGATTAGTAGATATCGATATACACATAATATAATATAACAATCGATTAGTCGATAGTTTAAAAGTATCAGCATATACATTTGTAACTATTTAATAGGACAAGATTTCTTTTATCGTGCCAATCTGAATCATGGTTTTAGCACCCCAAAGTGTACTTTAAGAGAAACAAAAAATAATCGATTCTTTTAAATTCTAGATTGGCCTAACCAATTACACATATTATTTCAAATCATTTGGTGAACTAATAAAGTTCTCATAATAATTTCTCGACTGCCAGCTGATCAATAGTCGACTGCATAGTTTCTAATGGTGTGTGAGGGTATATCGATAACTTGATAATATATTTGATTTATAGATACAAATCGATTTTAAATTAATAGCAGATAAAATTCAAATATTTTTTGTTTTGAAAGTGCAAAGTGAGTGCAAACCTCACCATTCATCGACATCTCGATATCATTATGCATTAATTTATCGATAAGCCTCTACTTCGTTATATGTAAATACTCAGTCTATAACAAAAAATATTTGAACACGTTCTGTACATACATACATATATATATATATAGCTAAATGGACCAATTCAGTGAAGATTCCTTGAAATTATTTAATGACTGAAAAGCTTATCTCTGGTTTCTGTGGAATTATTACTGATATATCTGATCAATATAACTCAAACCGACAAAATAACATCAACATGTTCACGTATTTGAATTCTGATATTTATTATCGCGGCATAAAATACGCTTCTTAGTCAATAGAAGCCAACGCTTTTCCATAAACTTGTTATAGGTTTCAGTGCCTTCAGCGAATTACTTTTAGTGACTGTAGTGAACTTTTTACGGTTTCCGCCGAAGCGGAGTTTTCAGTTTCAAACACAGAAAGAAGTCACTGAGACGAGCACGGTTAGCACGAGCTAGAAGGTGACAGCGCATTATCGTGATAAAAAATCCATGAATATTCTGGTATTCCTTACAGGCCGTTTAAGATATTTATGTTGAATAATCGTTTATGCAAAATAATCAAACGGAGCAGTTCGAGTCAAAGTTGATCACATGGTACATTCATAAAGCAATTTTCATTGAAATCCATGTGCTAGACTATCTCTTGTCATTTATGGCCTAAAATCGATCATAAAAGGCATTAAATTCCGTTATAAAGGGTGATTTATTTCGAGGTTCGAAGCTTTTTAAAGAAAAAACACAGAAACGTCAACTTCAGTGGGGTTTTTTGGGTATTACTTTTTTAAAGATTATCTCTTTCAAATGTTGGCCGCGGCTACGACTCGATGGTCCACCTGTCGTATTTAATTTTCGATGACTCTTTCGAGCATTTCGACTGGTAACTGGCGAATGACACGCGTAATTTTTTGTTCCAAGGCCTGCCTCGAAGCGAAATTGTCCGCATACTCTTTAGACTTTACACAACCCTTAGGAAAAGCTCTAACGGTGTGATATCACACAATCTTGTTGGCCAGTCGACCGGCCCAAAATGTGAAATCCATTGATTGACGCAATGTGTGGGAAGTGGCGATGTCTTATTGAAACCAAATGTCGCCGAGATCACGAGCTTCAATTTCTGTCATCAAATTATCATGGCGCGATAACGGTCGCCATTGACAGTTACTTTCCGACGGCAATATTTTTAAAGAAGTATGGGCCGATGATTTCACCGGCCTACAAACCACAGCAAACCGTTGATTTTTCTGGGTAAAATGACAGCTTTGAATCTCTTCAAGTTGCTCTTCGCTTAAAATACGGCAATTTTACTTGTTTACATACATACCTATTGATCCAGAAATGCGTCTCATCGCTGAACAATATTTGTCTAGAAAAAGTCTGATGATCTTGGAATTTTTCAAGAGCCCATTGAGTGAAGCGATGTCGCTTGGGAAGGTCCAGCAGTCTCATTTCTTGCACAAGTTGTTTTTTGTAGACTTTCAGTTGAAGATGTCGACGTTAAATAC